GATCACAGGTTAGAAAATGTGAAGCAGGTGATTGCAGCCAGCAACAAACAGTAAGTAACAAGTCATAAAAATCCAGTTTGATTTACAATGTTATATATGAGTAATCAACAGAAATGCAGCTGGTATTTACACTTGTGTATATGACAAATTGGATTTTCGGTTGTTTTCCACCTCAAGGTCTCTTTATCCTCCTTTGCAAGTCTTTGCATCAAATAAGTATAAAAAGGGAAAAAAACAGCCTCCACAAACAAAAACTACAGGATTGTTGTCATAATTCTCCCCAGTTCTCCTCTGGCAGTTTTTATTACCAAAGGCTTTGAATAATCTTTTCCACCCTGCCCATTCCAAATAACACAATCCTTCAGCATCACTGCTTACTGTGTTTTATGGTGAAGTGTAGATGAGAAAGAAGGAACATTCAAATGAAGCACTATCTGCTGCCGGTCTATGGCATCCATAGTGGAGCGGAGGGATTCATCAGCCGCCTGAGAATCTGGGAGCAAAGGGAAATAAGCGTGTGAAAGCGTTTGCTGTAAAAGTATAAAACTAGCTGTCTTGAAATAAAAAGGAACAGATTGTGAAAGGAAGAATAAAAATGAGGTGAGACATGTTTTCAGTGAGGTTTAATGGTCAAAACTGGCATGGCATGGACGGTTTCTGATGGTCGCATATGTGCAGTTTCAGATTGTGCCTTCTGTAAATGAGGAAATGCTTATGTTCAGGCTGCGCCAACAACAAGTGTACAGGCCCCAAACCACACCAGCACGATCAGGAGCATGCAGCCATTCTGTAACTGGCTGGCAGAGCAGTGTGAGATGAGCAACTGTTCCACCAGGTAGGACACAATAAACAGATCTTATGGCCCCAGGTACAGTTGTTATTGTCATCGTAAGTAAACAAAGAATCCTGGCACACCTGACACCAGCTAATATTCGGTATTACTACAGCCAGAGACCCCTAAGAAGGTTTCTTCTAGAAGAGAAGAAGGAAATAACTCAGCATTATGCACCCCACATGGGGTAACTTTTGTGCTTCTTATATTTCTTGGGCGACTGTGCACCTGTTTTTTCTTTTCGTGCCTCGGGGATAATGCCATGACTTGTAATTTATTGACTGTTGTGTCTGTCCCCATTTTATGTTCCTTTTTATTTATTTGTGCAGGTTGTGTGTTGATAATCTGTCATTTTTAAAGGGACTGTTGACCCTTTTTTTTTTTTTAATTGGAATATTGACCAGTAGAGAAAAGTAACTTTATATTACTGGCATAAGTTTGAGGGCATTTGCTGAAATTTGCACTTTTTCTACTTTCCAGAGATAAATCATTTTTATTTTTTCATATTTATTAGACAGACACATTAGCATTTATGGACAAAATATTATTAAATAGCAAATGAAATATTTCAGAAAAAAATTATTCTTTTGCCCCTTTTAATGTCCAACGAATTTTAATCACAAAATTATGTTTTACAATATTTCCATAATTAACATTTTGAATGCACAATTTTAAATTATTGTGAACCAACTCAAAGTAGTACTCAAAGCTTAAATTTATTTAGTTTTTAACAACAACATATTTTTTCAATGACAGTACCTGACCCTTTGTTTTTATACATAAGAAGTTTACTTCAGAGATGTCACTGATAGCAATAATGATGAATTTTGGAACTTTATGTTACACAAACATATGAAACTCTTATCTGATTTGTTAAGGTTATCCATTGTAACTGGTGTTATTAGGCCATCCGAGCTTTTCGCACCAAACGTGCACTCAGCTGAGTATTCAGGCTTTTTACTGCTTTGTACGTTTAGTTTTTAATTCAGATTTTTTTAAATATGTGTTATTATCACACTCTGAAATATATCTTGTTGCACTTTACCCATCCATGTGCCACTACTGTATTGTTTGTTTTTTTGTTGCTGCTGTTTTTTATTTTGCACACTGCAATAGATTTATGTGTTAAATATCTGAAAATCTTGACACTTGAACGCTAGACTAGCTAAATATCACTGGTGATTCGGGAGACCTCACCCTTAAATAGAATTCATGTGAAACTCAACAGTCTGCTGAGTGACACGGTGCAGTATCATAGTGATAATGGTGCTGCTTAAGAGCCACTGTTGCTGTTCCAGCAGCACTGGCACTGCACTGTGAGGCAGGAAAAGCCGGGCCATTGGGGATTTGTCAGAGGCCTGTTATTACATCTCTAGTCACATAAAATATGGCTGCCTCTCTAGAGATCCAGCTGCCAGATAAATCCACTCTCCTCCAACCAGACTGGCCCTGGCGATGAAACCATCCAATAGGGTACCTCAGCGAGTGACCTCTGGTAATGACGTGTGATTTATACAGTACATGCTTTAAACAGAGAGACACATTTGAGCCAGGTTATCTCTCCCTCTCTCTATGTATCTATATCTGGTGTCATGTGAGATAACTGGCAGGCCTTTGGGAGACGAGGGAGACATGACACTCGTCTTTGGGGTCTCACAAAATGGCTACAATGTGGACAGTTTCCCCTGCAGCTGTCTAATCGCAGCCTAAGCCTGCAGTGAGCACTGTGTCTCCTCCTGCATGAGGTCACTAACACATATTGCAGGGTGGCACTTTAAGCTAACAGACCGCAGTGTGGATGGCCTAAATCAACACCTGGTTGGGAAGTAACAGAGCTATTATATTCTGTATGCATTCATACATGTCAAGGAGCAGTAGATGAAGATATTCAGAGTGCATTAAACTAATACTGCTGGATTACAGTAAACCAATGTTTTCAGTGTTTATTACAGATATCAATTCAATAACCATTTATTCCAATCTAATCAAAATTATAAAGCCAACATTAAGTTTTGGCTAATAAGAACATAAAGTGTGGATAGAGTAATTTTTAGGACAGTCACTGATGCAGTTTGTACTGCCAAGAAATGTCCACTGCACAGTCTAGTAACTTAAGAGATTAAGTTCTCCGGCTAAAGGAGAGCCGAGAGGCAGGACATGTCATTGACCTTGGCAAGCAAGACACTGCAATGATGACACACCACTGCAAATATCTGTCTTTAATAAACAGGAGGGCATAGCACTGAACCAACACCATGATCCACCACAGCTTAGCTGGATAGAAAGAGACACATGTGAGGTAAAGTGGAAAAAATAAGGTGACTATATATTTTCCTTAATTATATAATTTCCTACAAATTAAACATGTTTCATTTAATTCATTAATGGATTTTTGGTCATATTTTTAGTAATAATAAAACTATCTAATGTTAATTCTTTTTGGCTGGGTTATTGCAACATTGTCTGTTTGTTAGCAATGGCTAATGTCCCTTCATATTACATACATCAATCAAACTCTGGTTTAAAAGCATTTAAGTTCATGTACATATTATTTTTAGGCTGCCAATGTTTTATTGTTTTTTTTTTATCTATTGGTCTCTCTATAATATTTACGTTTAAATAAAAGAAACTGGAAGAAAATGTGTTCAAAAATAGCTCCTTAAATTTCAACAAGGATCTAAAGAACAGTGACCTCTGAAATTAGATCTTACCCCCCACCAGCAGCAAATATAAACTGTCTGCCTGATTTTTATTTCTTTTCTTTTTCTTTTTACAATCTGGTGAAGTTAAACTGGTCACATCATTGAAAGTCTTTTGCAAACTAACATTGTTTTTCTTTTCTTTTTTTAAATCTCTTAATCTTTAAAAAATTAATAAATCTTAAATGCACAATTTGTTAAGAACAAATATTTTATTTTAATATAAATATAATAGATGAGGAAGGGAGCAGGCTCATTTAAAAATATATATTTCACATCCAATTTCTTTTTCTTTTTCCTTCTGCTCATCGTGGTTTACATTTTTGTCTTCACCGCCATATATAAATGATATAAATGATAACCTGAATATACCTTTACTGGCAATACAAGCTGCCTAAATAGAAAAATAAGGTAATTTTAGAAAACACAGTCACCTAAGAATTTAATAAAACAGCTGAAAATAAAAATCCAAATATAAAAAACAACAATCTTGTACTAATTTTCTTTCTGCACCACGACCGTCATAATTCTAGATATGGTCATAATTTACAGGCACTTCCATCACCGAAATCTATAATCACCACGATACTGATTTACTGCATCTTCGTTAGCTGTTAAAGTAAATAAATACTCTTTATTGTAACAAACATGATACGCAATTAATAGCGACAGAACTAATAGACTTAAAATTCCCCTATCCGCAATGTATTTGTAATTAACTCAACTTTGTTCATTTAAAGGACTAAAGGAGAAGTTAAACAGACTATTGTGAAACAAAAAACTATTTTTTTACCTTTTAAAACCACATATTTAAAATCTGAAGTTTAATTCTAAATTAAAACAAACACTTTGCCGCACTATGCAAAATACCCTGCCGTCGATCTGTGTCCAGTGCCAAAATAAACCCATTCTGTCAAACCTGGAGGATGCGAGGAGATTTGAGAGGAAATGAAATATTTCTCGGAAGATATAAAAGGAGCCTTTTCGCCTGAGTTATGGCCCGGATTTGGCGTTGCTGAGAGGGATGCATGCTGCTCCTTCTATCTCGCCCCAGACGAGGTATCATCAGAGCTGATATATAGCCCAGCTCTACATTACCTTTACAAAACAAAGGATCATCCACGCTTTGGGAGGAACGTATTCTTCTGACTAAAGCTGCGGAATCTGTAACTGAGTCGACTTGTTTTTTTGTTGTTTTTTAACCATCCAAATAGTCCAAATACTTTAAACAAACCTGCTGCTGAACTTAACTTTTAAAGCGTTAAAATTGGCTAAAGATTCTGATGTCTCTCAACCCTTCTTCCTTTTTCTTCCTCTCCCTCTCTCTGAGCTTCCCCTTATTTATCCCATATACCTATTCTGGTATCTCACCACACGACTAAATTAGACCAAAGATGATAAGAGCACAAAGCATTATAATTCCGCCCGGCTCCTCCTCCTTCCAGCCATGCGTCCTAATTAATGGGACACCCCCAGTTGCAAAAAGCCCTGCACTGGACTGCAACATAGTCAAAGAGTGAAAGGGAAGAGGGCGAAAGTGCCACTGGAGATAATTGATTACCCACCAATCAATGATAACTTGTTAGTAATCGTCAACTCTTTGGACCTCGCCATTTTCAGGGAGGCATCTCACTCCTGCGGACTTGCTGCTCGCGAGGATCGACACTTTGAACGCATCCCATTTTGGAATAAGATTTTCTTTCCCTCAATCTCCCCTCCTTATCTTTGTTTTTTTTTTCTACCTCCAAACTGTTATGTGACTTTTTTACCCTCGATACGTTCGCTCGTTTGTAACTGCTTAATACTTCAACCAAGTCCTATAAACTCTGCGTACAACCAATGATGACATCCAAAGAAGTCGCCAAATGTGATGCAGTGGAAAACAGGAGGCGAAGTCCGCTGGACCACTTGCCGCCTCCTGCAAACTCCAACAAGCCGCTGACCCCATTCAGCATTGAGGACATCCTGAACAAACCATCTGTGAAACGAAGTTATACAATTTGCGGCACAGCTCATCTAATTTCGTCTTCTGAGAAACATCGTCCCTCCAGCATCCCTCTGTCCAACCGGGGACTCCTCACCCAAACCTCCCCGCTCTGCGCGCTGGAGGAGCTGGCCAGCAAGACCTTCAAGGGGCTGGAAGTCAGCGTTTTGCAGGCTGCCGAAGGTAAATCTACAAGATGAAAAAAAGCACGACAAACACGTTTTGACTAATACGCCTGGAACTAGATTTTTAAACAACAAAAATTCGCTCAAACGTGTTTATTCAATAGCTCGAGACACTCTTTTCCAATTTAAGTGCGCATATTTTCCTTTTCACATATATATCTAAAAAAAAAAAGGTGCGTTATTTTTTCCTGGGCCGCTCTTATCACCAGAGCCCTTTCTTTAATTTTATGGCCTCGTGTAAAGAGGAAGACCAATTGTCTGATGTTCAGTATTTCCCAGTGGTGTCTGTGTAATATTGTTGTAACTGTCTACCTATTCCCACAAGGACTGAGAGGCATTTCTGTTTCAAAGACAGCATCATTTTCGTTGTTATGTCTGCGTTATGGGTACTTTTACGCGCATACTGCAGCAGTGCAGAAAACGCCCTGCACCTGTATCTATCAATGATTTTCACTCAGCCTCTCCTCTCCCTCACAGGCCGGGATGGGATGACTCTGTTCGGCCAGCGAACCACCCCGAAGAAGCGTCGGAAGTCTCGGACGGCTTTCACCAATCACCAAATCTATGAACTGGAAAAGCGCTTCCTGTATCAAAAGTACCTGTCCCCAGCCGACCGGGACCAGATCGCTCAGCAGCTGGGCCTGACAAACGCGCAGGTGATCACGTGGTTTCAGAACCGGAGGGCCAAGCTAAAACGGGATCTGGAGGAGATGAAGGCCGACGTGGAGTCGGCCAAGGCCATCGGCCAGGTCCCACTGGACAAGCTCGCCAAACTGGCGGACCTGGAGAAATGCGCCAATGGCACGCTGGGCCACCCGCGAGCCGAGTCCCCCGCGCGGGGAGGCCAGCAGGAGCACGAGCTCTCTCAGAAACTGAGGACGTCGCCGCTGTCTCCATTCTCAGACCACACAACTAGTAAAGAGTGCTCAGAGGACGAGGACGTGGAGATTGATGTGGATGACTGATGGCGCATCCAGGAGCTTGAAGGTCAAGAAACACAAAAAGACGATAAAATAATCCCGCGGAGGACTTGTAACTTACTGCTTATATTGTATACCATATCTCGGAACATGTACCAAAATGTAATGACTTTTATATTGGCACAGATACTATTCATAGTGAAGCATGAACACAGAACAAGAATTATGCAGTGATATTTTACAATGTATTCATTAGCAAACTGTTACTTCTTTCGATCAAAGCAATATGGTCTGAAATGACATGAGTAACTTATTTTTTTACAGTATAAACCAACACACACACACACACACACACACACACACACACACACACACACACACACACACACACACACACACACACACACACACATTGTTTTATTGCTTTTCCCGATAGCCCCACACATCACAGTGAAGTGCTCCAGTTTTCCATATTTTTGCACGTAAATGCATGATTTGATTTGTGATCATTATCTATTTATTTTTACTTTTTTAATTTAATTGCTTTTGTATTCTCTGCGAGCCAAATCGCGATTCAGTCACTTTGTCACTGCCGGCTCTTCTCCTCTACATTATCATTATCATTTGACTGTAACCCCTGGCTTCAGTTCATATTCTGCGTCCCGATGCTGCAGTGCATGATGAAGATGATGATGACGGTCGGAAAGGCAAAACTCGGACACTCACAGTTACAACGTGTTTTGTGGAAATGCTCGAGCGATGGCGAGAAACAGCGGTTGATATTGCGGTGATTTTGACAAGCTACTTTTTAGATTTATTGTTTGGATACAATAGATTTACAGTTATAAATTTGTTATGTTTTGTACACCTGTAAGTGCCTTTCTGAAATCAGGACATTATTTGAAAACCAATGCACAGACTGTAATGTATATAGGCTACTATGGGAATAAAATGGCTTTTCTGAATAATTCTTTTATGTTGCAGTTCTTGAAATATTGTTTAGGTTTTTGTTGTGGATATAATAGCCCCTTTTAATTTATTTATTGAGGGAAGAAAAATGATTTTAGAAACGGCTCCCCTTGCCAAATCTGGGCGTGTAAGCTCGTCAACAGCGGCCTATTTAGAGTTACTATTTTGTTCCTTTGTGTCCTTTTCTACTAAGATGCTCTAAACATTTTGTGGCCCGGAATCTCACATCCCCTTTCACATCCTAAATGCGTATCGTGGCTTCTTGACCCTTAGACGTGTTTCTCCATTCGTGGCAAAAATTTATGTGAGAAACACAAATCTGGTGCCGGAGAAAAAAAGACGAGGAAGCCACAAAAACACAAAGTTTTGGGCCAGTTTCCCCGGGCCTTTATAGACCTTTTTTGTTCTGCGGGACTGGGCCGTAATTTTGAGCGTAAAGCATGAAAAGTGGGGACAAATGAGCAGCGTTCCCTGATGGGACGAGCCACAAAGGAGCAGGGCCGGTCCCCCGCAGGCAGCAATACTGAGACAAGTGTGTCCCACCGCACAAAAAGGACGCAAACGTTTGGAAGCCATATGGTTTTTGAAATTTCCTCACAATTTCAGACAATTTGATGGATTGAGTTAACCCTCCTTTTAAACAGTTTAACTGGGTGCGAACAAAGGCCATAATGCCTACATAGACTCTCCCTTCATGAGGGCATCTGCGGCTATTAATGTCTAGCCCCTTTCTTTGCTTGGCGTTTTGAACAAGTCAATGAATTACAATGAAACTGCCCCTTTTTTGAGAGCCGCTTGTCTTTCTGCGCTTTTTAGCTTTGGAATAATATGTTTGACTTCTGTCCAAGAACGTTTTCTAAACAAGAAATGGATTTTTGTTGGAAGTGTTTTTAATGTTAAGTAGGGAGCCATAAAGAGTTTGGGCTGTGACATTTATGCCAAAGTCTGGTTAGGGAGTCCTTTGTTTGTTTTCTTCTCATCTCTTTTTTCTTGGTCTGCCTTTTTATTTCTTTTGTCTTTAAGGAGTTTAATGAAGCTGAAAACATGGTGATGTGAGAAAGAAAGAGTGTCCAGAAGAGAAGCTCAAAAGGCAAACTCCCATTTAACCCTCTTTGTTAACAGAAACGATAAGTAGAGCTGTCTTCTTGTTGATGTTTTATAGAGGTTGCTTTTTTATATTTTACTTTTATTTTAACCAAGTCAACCTAAATAAGCTAAATAAGTTTATAGGCCTGGGAGATGTTAATGTGACCAAAGCTTTTGTAAATTCTCTGTAGATAAATTAGAGTCTTTAAAAAAAATCATTAGCCTAAAATTTTCTTTAATGCCCTTATACTGCATTTATAAATAGTACGGTTTATAACAGGGAGCAAATACATGTGTTTATTAGTATAACAGCTCAAGTGGACTAACTGGAAGCTGATATATAAACTGATATTAACTTGCAGCCTAATAAACACGCTGATTATAACACAGAATATGCACAAAAGAAGAAATTTTAATTGCTGGCAAATATTGTACTGTAAAATTCACAGAATATTATTACAACTGCATTATATTGTTTTATAAATTATTTATAAAATGATTATGTGCACTTTATACATACAAAATAAGGCAGTAAGGTGGTGTACATAGTATTTATCAAGGTTTAAATTCTAGATAACACTTCAATTGAAAAGTACCTCCAAAAGAAAAAAATCAATTCAGTTCAATTATTCTGAAAATTGATCTGCAAATATGAACATGTCAGTCTTTAATTTATTTTGTGTATGTATGTGTGTGTGTGTGTGTGTGTGTGTGTGTGTGTGCTGGGAGGGTGGCGGGTGCCTATGTGCGTGCTCTGGAGCCTATTCTGAATCAAGCATATTTATGAAGGGAGAGAGTGTTAAGGCAGGTAAGTTTATGGATTTCACTTGCTTATTTTATGAGGGGTTGTCAGGCGGGCCCGGTGATAAGTAATACTACAGTCTGAGGGACCACTTCGTGGTAATTAATCTGGAGGTCTTAAGTGTATTTCAGTATTTCACTTCAAGATAGAAAAAATCACTACTTCAATCGTCCGGAAAATTGAAGTTTGATGCATGAGTCCCTACTGAAACAATAGTACAGCCCTCTCTCTTTTCATCTCTTCCCCTCCCCTTTTTATACTCTCTCCTTTATTATTTGCACCTTGTGGAAAACAGTGTCAGGGGCAAAGTGTACACTCATATTTGAGGGAATAGTCAGGTGACAGCAAAGAGAGCACTGAAATTAAATTGTTTAATGTTTACGACCTTGTTCTCATTTAAAAATATGGCACAAACTTAGAAGAAAAAGGTTTTTAAATCTATTGTTTGATTATTTAAATTAATTATTTGAATCCATAGGCTTCAAATAATCCTTGAATGCATTATTATTATTATTATTATTATTATTATTATTGTTGTTGTTGTTGTTGTTGTTGTTGTTGTTGATGATGAATAAGTATTAAAAAGGAGATCTGTAAATGACCTGATATTTGGCTCGAATTAAATGACTCTATATATCTAAATAGAGCCAAAATGTAGAGTTTTAATCATAGCCTTCCTGTGGAGCCAGTTAATACTTCAAACTTCAATTTTACGGGCGATTGAACTAAGCATGTTCCTGACAGAATTGATGTATGTATTAATTTCCTTTAACTGTTGATTAATTAGGCTGCGCTGAAGGCTCAAATGGAACGGTTTGTTCAGAAATTTGCATATTAATCAAATTCTAGTTGATCATTCAAATAATCAAGGCTGTGTGAAATCGGGGATGTAGCAAGAAAACATCAACTATATTTGGTCTGACTTATCTTCTGCTGTTTGTCCACTGTACTATAATCAGATAGAGTCAGTCGGCTTATTTGGACTAAATTGCTAATACAGAGTTTTGCAACAAATATACAGATACATTAACTCAAAGTGGGGAAAAAACAAAACCTTTGCGCTGCTGTGCTTTATAAATAAACAAGAATGGGAGACGTGGGTGGCAGAGAAGAAAAGTGTTGCATCAAGTACTGCATTTTATACATTTTGGATTCTTAAAATTAGAATAAAATTAGAATAATAAAGATTTTTACATATTGCCACAAGGCTGGGTTTTCAGAAGGCTGTTTCAGATCACAGGTGAATGATTTATGGTGGAGAAAGGATAATTTCAAAAATGTTTTGCAATTATAGTTAAGTGCTGTGACTCATCTAAAAGGTAATCAGAAGTCTGCAGGTAGATAAATTATAAACTATGTAGACCGCTTTACCTGAAAAAAATGTAGGAGTTATTAAATTCAATGATTCATGAAGTGTTTACTTTGGAGCTTTTCTTCAACTAGCGATGGTGGTGGTTGAAGTCTAAAATTAATATAGATTATGTTCCAACAGCATCTACTTATACTATTTAGAACGGATTTTTTAAGCAGAAACAATGCTGTAAAGAAACTCCTCTACACATTAAAAAAAATCATAAAATCCATTAGCAGCACATGAATATATGTCCCTGAAGGAAAGATGAAGCATAAAGTAAAGAAAATGTTAGATCTGTGGCCTCAGGTGGGAGTTATTTAGCACATGTATTGATGATTTCTGTGTGGTGCACAGAACAAAGCATGAAAAACTACAAGTGGGGGGAAAAAAGGTGAATAAAGTGCATTTTCACTAAAGTCATCTGGAAGCTCATCCAATTGTAAATATCTCATCATTTAATCATATGAGGTCAAAATACATTTGGGTGAACAAAAAGGAAAACAAAAGCAAAACAAACAAACTTACTATCCATACCGTTACATGCCAATTTAAGCCATCCTTTAAAAAAAAGTGTAGCTGATGACAAGCTACAAGCTGCAGCCAGCTCCAGCTTAGCTTCTGAGACAAACAGAGACACCTGCTGGTGTCAACGGGATAGTGACCTGCACTTCACTGAGCAGCAAACCAGCCATGCTGTGTGTAATGTGTCTGTGTGTGTATGAAAGAGTGTGTGTATGAGAGTGGTTGTATATTATAAAGCTGCGACTGAATTATCAAATATGATACATATTTTTAGATTGCTTTATTTGAACGATCAATATCAGGCTGGTGGAACAGTTCGTACAAGACTGGTAATGAAAACATAAAATTAGAGGTGGAATGTAATCGTAATGGTAAACAGTATGTAAAAAGACATAAAGCAAGATTTAAAAGGAAGCAGATATTGAGTATGTACCTCCATCGTCCTTAAGAAAATTGTGTTGTTGTTTTTTTAAAAATAAAAATAAAATAAATAACTAATAACATAAAAATAGTAATTTCTTGATTAGATGAGTATGAATTTAATAACTTGATTCCTACATCTTATTGACTCTTTCTCATTTCTCTAAGCCTTTCTTTCAGTGAATAT